ATTATTATTATTATTATTATTATTTATGTTAGAAAGAAGGTGCAGGTGTGTCTGTGGCTCTCAGCCTCTCCTGCTTCTCTGAGTGCAGCGTCATTGATTTTCCATCCACTGGCATAAAAAAAATGGAAGGCGTGAGAAGCCTTCAGAGACATGGATCCTCGCTGGTTCTTCTGCCTGTCTATGATTTCTCTGTCYGTCCTGCACGACTCAGAGCAGCAGCAGTACCCACCCAGACTGGATGTGCTGACAGATTCCTATAGGCCCACTGTCTGCTGTGGCAATCAGAGAAGATGACACATGATAACGCTGGAGCMCTGATCAATTATTAAAGACTCAAATATGTAGCCTAAAGTCATGGGGAAGAATCCATCTTTCAGTACTAAGATTTTACATATCAAGACATAATAAAAAGAACAAAACAAGTCGCRCTTTGTCATTATTTATTTAACAAAACCAAAGGAAGAAGCTGTGTGAAAAATGTTYACCTGCAGCTTCCGTAGGATTTAGGGGTTCAGAACATAGCAGCCATGATGCTTCAGATCAAATGCACTTGCTTACGTGATGATTCGATATGAYCACCTCCACGCATTGCCAGTTTGCTTTCACTTTAATGTACAAGTGTGCATTCACACACTGCCAAAGACACATCAGCAATGACCTTAGAAACAAATGTTGCTGAAAAGGGTTATAAGGCAATATCCAAACAACTTGGAGTTCAGTATTTTACAGTAGAAAAAAAAAAGTTCAGACAAATACCATTGAGATCACACCTTTTTTTTGCAAGGGAGGCCTGAAGATAGACAAAACATGCATGTTTTTTGTATTGTGGGAGGAGAGACTGTGCAAACTTCTCATAAGATMCCAGGTTCTAACAAGGCATTGAGACTTAGGACCTTCCTGCTGTGAGGCAAAAGTGCCAACCACTGATCCATCATGCTGACATTTACAAGTGAAAATCATTTAAAATTGCTGCCCATTTTCCCAGCTAGGAATCCTACCAAATTCACCCCAAGGTCAGACTGTGCAATGCTCAGAGATACTGTATGACAAACAAAAGAGCTTCATGCCACAGGTAACTGCTTATATACGTCAGGCTCTACAGCTCATCCCACAAATGCATGTTCCTTACAAATGTGGCATCAGTAAAAATGAAAGTATTAGACTTATACTGATTTATTGCCAAGACGTTGTTACAACAAAGMATTAATCTACCAGACACGCTTAATTKTTGTGCTAAGTTTGAATTCAACAATAGTTAGTTTTGAAAGATTGGCAGAAGAAAACCTCTTCTCTGTTTTCTAAATAAAGGTGAACCTGACTTAGGTTTGGAACGTTTCATCTGAACAAAATACAAGACTATTGGAGCAATACCTTTTGGACATGTAAACCAAAAGCACAGAGATGTTTGGATTTAACACATAGCAGCATGTTTTGCAAAAATAAAGGATATTAGCACAAACACCTCATACCAGCTGTCAAGCACAGTGGTGGAGGGCGGATGGTTCTGGGTTGGACATGGGAACCTTGCAGTCATTAAGTCAACAACAAACTCTGTAAACCAATGTAGGGTGAAAAGTGAGGTCATCTATTCAGTATCAGTTTGACCAAGGTTTAGTATTAGCTTGGCTGAAATTTGGTCATGTAAAAGAACAATGATCACAGACAACTCTTGAACAGATTGCAAAGGAAAAGAGTGCTGATATGGCTCAGTCACATTCTGACCTGTCTGTCAGTAGTAGGTTGATGGCCTGACCAGACACTTTGAGAAATAGTTTATCGCTGAAGCAACACAAGCAGAAACTTTAAATGTTGGATACATATCTAAAATATACAGGATCTGTACATATTTCAGATTTTACACAGCTCCTCTGACAACTAGACTTGGTTTCATCGCTTTTTGTATCTGAACTGCAAAACGTGCAGCAAATCATTCTACTTTACTGAGTACTTTACTGGCTTCTTTCTGCATCTCCATATCTCTGACTTTGTTTTATTGATAATTCATTTGTGCTCTATTAGTCGTCCTGTTTACCTTATCCATCTCATTCTGTAATATATGGGTCAATGGGCTAAAAAGCTCCTGCCGTGATCAGGAATGGATGAATTTCTTTAGCTTTCAAGGAAGCAAGAAATCTTGTGAGCAGAGTCACTTAGTCATCAGCCCTAAGAGCCGCTTTGCCTCAWTGCAAAACAATGGTTTTAAATCAGTGTTTACAGCTCACCAGGGACAGCTTTTACCAGATGAGACAAATGCATAGATTTTTCTCCTTGTGTTTTTGGAACTGATTTCATGTCAGAAAAGTGAAACCAAAAAGTTTTGTTTTTTTACGTTGATGCATGATTGTAAGCAGCTCTGTTTGTGTGATCCCACGTCCACAATACAAGTGCATTTATCATAGGCTGTCATCTGAGAGAACCAGAAAGAAAATCATTCACAGTAGATTTGTACCGTTGCGTTAAGAAGCTTATTTCTTCCTGCCAGTCTTTGAATCTTGATTTCATATTGAATTAATAATACTTTTTCATTTTTGATCTCTTCACTGTCAGGATCAATCATTTCTCTCTCTGACTATGCAGTGTTCTCAAATTATAGCTAATTTATTGGTTTAAACTTAAATGAGCAAAACTTATGAAATAATTAGATAAAAAAAATCGGATGTTAGTTCAGGGTAATCTAGATTTTTCAAAATTATGTTTAAATTTGACTGGAACAACACATTTAGATTTCCAGAATGACCATTCAATAAATATTTAATGAAGCTAAATAACAAATATTTGTTGATTGTTTTTCCTTTAACATGGAAAAAAATCCTCAGGAACCAAAGCTGATTTAAATCAACCATTTATTTCTGGAGCACTGTATATAAATGTGCAGATAACTACAAGGCTGAACATCTATGGCATGAAAATGTGTCAAACAAACCTATTTTTCCCAGAAGGTCAAGGATGTGTTGAACGTCTTGGCATAGAATTGTGTGTGAACAGGTGAGACACAGCAGGCAGAACATTTTCTGTTTCCCCTTGATTTGTGCCCTCCAGGTTAATTATTCATTGACCTAATTCTCAAAGACACCATGTATTGAATTGGCTCAAAATAAAAATAAACAGTAACAGACAGATTGAGATAGTTGTGGTAAAAATGTACACCAAACTCTGACAAGTAGAGATTATGAATACTTGAAAACAGATTCATAGTTTCATATTGATTTGAGTTTGATAACAAATTGTTGAAGGTTAAAAGAAATAAAAGTAAAAGAAGGTCCAACAAAGAAAGCAAAACAAATTATGTGTCTTGAATTCTTTACTGGGTGGCTGCATGGCAGATCAGTGGTCAGAGTTGTCACTTTTCAGTGAGGAGGTCACAGGTTTTCCTCCTGGTCTGGCATCTTACTGGGTAGGGTATTCATGGTCTCTCTGTGCACATGTGGGTTTTCTCTGGGTACTCTGGTTCCCTCACGCAGACCAAAAACATGCATGTTAGTTTAGTTGGCAGCTGTAGGTGTGAATGGTTGTATTTCTTGTTTGTCCACATGTGTCCCTGTAATGGACTTGCAATTTCCACTGGGTGTACCCCACCTCTCACACAATCACTGCTGGAGATAAGTACCAGCTCCCCTCTACCTGGAAAGGAAAAATGGGTAAAGAAAATGAATGGATGTTCTGTGAAAAGAAGGTCAGGAAAAGTTGGTAACGACAAAAAATAATGCAAAAATGAAGATGTAGTAATGACGGAGTAGACAAAGTACCCACATAGTGGACAGGTTTGGGCCAGATCTAGTGTCAAACAGACAGATGTGGCAATGATGGCACTGTTTTTAAGATGGCATGCCACACAACTGGTCCAGTTGTGGTTTGTTTTTTTGTGGTGCTGGCCCATGCATGGACCACCTCTGACAAACTGCATCTGGGTCACCAAAGGCTGTTATTCTTAGTGTATCTGGGCTGATTGTTAATTGTGTGTGCTGAAACTGGGCCAGACAAGTTTTACTATGTGGGTATCCAACATGAAGTTAGAGATTTTTAATCTGATTCCTTTAGGTATCATTCCTTCTCATAGGTTCACAACGAGTCAAATTATTGCACATTAGTGTCAGCAGAATCGATTTGCTGCGATTAGAAGATACTTTTTCTTCCTCTTTCTCCTCCTACCACTCCCTTCCTCTTTCTTTCCTCAGTTGGTCCTCCACCCAGTGTTGTCATGTATTCTTGTGCATTATATATACAGGCTTTAGTTAATTTCCATGTTGCGCAAAAGTATAAAAAAAATAAACAAATTAAATTGTAGTGTGTGGTGAATGGCGGTTATTTATTTATTTA